AAGACGTTTGACACCTCATCGATAAGATATCTCTTTGAGAATGGCATGAGAACACAACCAAACCAACTCTGATCGTCATCGAGAACTCCACGATGACGAAATTTGACGCGCCTCTTCTTACTCTCCCTTTTTAACTTTCTTTCTGTCTTTCTTTCTTTTTTATTTTTTTTTTTTTTTTTTTTTTTTTTTTTTATTTCATACTCAAATAGCACCGGCGCCCTTCTTACACTCTGCCGATCGATCGCATTTTTATCGGCAAAACTTTGAAATGCCAATCCAGTCGAACTCGATTCGTCGTGGTGCTCGTATCGAGTACTATCAATTTTTTTTGTTTTTTTTTTTTTCAATTTTTTGTTGTTGTTTAATCACTCTTTGATTGTACATGTGTGACAAAGCTTTACGAATTTTTTGGGGGTTAGTAAATAAAGGAGTGAATTATTTTTTGTTAAATTTTACCAAATTGAAACGAAATCGATTGTATCGTGGAATAATATTTAAATTGTTTTCAAAACAATTGTTTTTTGTTATTAACTATTGAAGTTTCTTCTTCTTCATCATTTTTACTGCAAAAAAAAACGAATTTATGCTAACGAGTGTATAGTGTGTATCAGTGTTAGTGAAGTCTGAAGAATGACGAGGTATTTTAACGTTTCACACGCACGCTTATCCATCTTCGTTTGTGTTAGCTTTTAAAAAATAAAAAAATAAAAAAAAAATAAAAGAAAGAACCCTTCACCTTCTCTTTCTTCCTACGTGTGTCATTTCACCCCGTGGGTTCGTGTAAAAGATGGAAAAAAAAATTCTCTTATACATCCTCGTAGTAGGTGCATGTGCAATGGGGCCAACGATGCATGCAACTTTGTGCAGGTGGTGTTAAAACAGAAAAACGCGTTTAAAATATTGAAAAATTAGAACAAATTCTTATATTTATTTATCTTCTATGAAATTAACATTGATTTTATTTGTATTTTATTTTATTTTATTTATTTGATGCGGTGCAACAGAATATGCAACTTTGTGCGGGTGGTGACGAAATAAAATAGAAGTACGCGTTTGAAAGATTAGAACAAATTCATATATATTTATCTTTCCATAAAATCAACTAACATTTATTATATTTTTATTTTATTTTTTTTTTATTTTTTTTAATTTTATTTTATGTTGTGTGTATGTGAGAAATACGGAAATATCTTTCTCATAGTTTTGCCAATCCTTTCGAGAAACATCCTCGTCGTCCTCGTCGTCTTCTTCTCGACGACAAATATTCTATAGTAAGACTATAATTTACGATCGTGTAACATTTGACTTTTATTCACCGGCATCTTTTTCATTGTACCTAAACCGCCGCGCGTGCAAGTATTTAGATTGCTATCGATATAACCGATGTAAAGTCCGATTTATGTACGTTGTCGTCGTCGTCGTCGTAGTCGTCGTGATATCGAGAAGATTGTCGCGCGAGTTCAACATATTTACATATTCATTTTCCAATTGCGATCCAAACAACCAACGCAAATTGTTCCTTTTTACATGGAACGTGTGTATGTGTCTGTTCTCTTCTCTCTCTCTCCCTCTCTCTCTCTCTTTTTATCTTCTTTGAATGTYCTCATACGTTTGTAACAATTATTGTTTAACGAGGTAACACGAAGTTTTTTTTTTTCTTTATCAATTCGATTACGATTTTAAAAAAGTAACAATCTAAAGAATTTCGTATCACTGATTATCATCAATCGTGATTTTTTTTTTTTTTTTTTAACGAAAATAATTTAGATTTGTCCCGAAATAATTCTATTCTACAAAAGTTGTTAAAAATTTATTATAATAAAAATAATTATTATTATTAAAGGGTGAATATCAAAATTTGGTTAGTTTATTGTGTTGCAACTTTAATTTGAAACTCGCATATTGGATTTTGTATTTTTATAAAATTAATTTTTAAAATTTACGAACTTTTAATTACACCATATAGTAATTTTAATATATATTATATATTATTATTAAATAATTATTAAATTATTATATTATAAATATAATCGAATTTAAGTTATCCTTATCATCATCATATATATATATATATATATATATTCACCTTTTACGTAAGATAACAAAAAAATAAATTATATTCTTAATATTTCAATTTAAAAATAATCATTTTATTTATTTATCTTTTTTAGATAGGTGGTACGGTGGTGGTAGTCATGTCACCCAATCAACCAAACGACGGACCACAAGAAATCGACGTGGAGGAGCCAGGAGAAACGGATTATCGGCCGCCAGGCATAATCGTATTTTCAAACGAGTTAAATCGCAAGTAAAAGAAGATCACAATTTGATAATAACAATTGAAGAGGATCGATACGTGAATTCGATCCAACAGCTTGGAACCTACGGCCTCCCCGCTGGCCTGGCCAGCTACTATGCGAATTGAAGCTCTCAGCGCCCTCGTCGCGGTAACTATACTTTCATCATTATTATTTTTATTATTATTATTATTATTATTATTATTCTCTTTCTTATTATCTCTTTATCTATATCGATCTTATTAAACGATTAAATATTTCTCGAGTTATTGAGAAGTTATATTTAGAATTGGAACAAATTCCAATCAGCATTCCAATTACGTTTACAAATCATTTCGTGTATATACACATATAAATATATAAATTACGTGTCACGTTGTTTGTCCGCAATGGATTCCTAAACTACTGAACTGATTTTAATTAAATTTTGCACACTGTGTGCAGTTTCATCTAACTTGAAAGATAGGATAGTTTATATCTCAATTTATATTATTTTATTGCGAATTATTTATTTATTAACAAAGAGTCATGATAATCTCTGTTAGTTCGATAAGATTCTAACAGATGGTGGTACAAGATAATTCGTTGGCTTAAAGACGTGTGTATCGGACTGATTGTGAGCTACAGCAACACCGGGGCACCCCCCCCCCCCGATTAATATCTCGTTAATTAATTATTGAAACTAATCAATAGTGGCCCATGAACCATCTCATACTTACTATCAATGAATGAGAATGAAAATTTGAAAGTCTTGAATTTATTACCACATCGGGGTAGACCAAAAAAGTTCAAAAATATTCTATTGACACCACTGTATAAAAATATCAGACATATACCACTAGAACATCATGATTTCTTCAAATCCCTTTCACACAACAAAATGTAGATGAGTAGAAAAATTGTTTTGTAATTAATGTTTGTCATTTTGTACGTTATGTTGTTAAAAAATGTTTTCAATCGCATAAATTATGTTTCTGAAGTGTTTTAAAGATATGTCAAATAAATTGAGTATTGTTATTTTTTTTTTCAATTTGAAGCATCTTAAATTATGTTGAATGGATTTGGATCCATTCGAAATTTTCTAACAAATCTGGTTGTTAATATTGAAAGTAGCCTAACTCTATTCGTGGTAAGAAAACGCATATTATTCATTGAATAATTGTCACTATTTTAATAGAAACTATAAATTGAACATCCTTAGATACACTTAAGCAGTATAACTCGTATCTTGTACGTATATTTTGAATTGCATTGAAACACAAACCCTTTGAACATAAATGTATTTAGTTCACTTTGAAAATAAACGGCTCATGTATATACGAACCATTATTTAAACAAAATATTATTTAATATCTCGTTAATTAATAATTGAAACCAATCGATGATAGTCATAAGTAATTTCATAGTAACTTATCTATATCCCTAAATAACTTCTGTAAATCGAGTAGGTTTCTATAAAGGTGTATTAATGAAACAATAAACGCCTCGTGCACGCCCCTTAACTTGTGACTATTGTATAGGGAAATATCTACAACAGGTAAACACACACCATTGAACTAAACAATAATTACAATATCCAGGCCGGATATAATGAGCATAAATTACCGCCCGTCGAGTGTATTATTAGCATATTATCGAGCTGTCTTACACGATTACTACTCACCGGTGTTGCGTTGCGTTGCGTTGCTTTGCGTTACTTTGCTAGTTGAATTGCGTCAGGGTTGCAAACGTTTTATACGAATTTACATGAATAGAACTATTATAAGTGTTTATCTTTTTTTTTTTTTTTCGTGGTTAAGTGTTTATAGTTTCTTTCTTTCATTCGAATACACACACACAACACACACATACGATGAACTCTTTTTGGTTTCCCCTGTAACAAAAGTATCGATAAACTTTCGAAATTATGATTTCGATACGACAACAACAACTCTTTTTCTTTTCATTTTATTTTTCTTTTTTTTTTTTTTCTTTATATATTTTTACTCAACGCGGTTGGGGGTGTCATCACATTTTCTTGAAGTTGAATATTTTTTTTTTTTTGGAGTTAGTTCATTCCGATTCTTACGAACACCAACTTGTAGTCATCTCCTGTATTAAACACCTGCCACGAGTTTCTCTCCAACTCAAAATATTCCCTCCCCAACCACGAAACTTCATCTTCAAATAAAAGCTTTGATCTTTCTCGAGTATCAAGGCTTTTGTAGTTCAAGAATGTGTGTGTGTATGTGTGTAATCACAGGTATATAAATTTAATACCTCGTATGAGAGACTTTAACAATTACGTGACACGATGTTAAAATGTTTATTTCAATTATGTCTGTGAAAATGTTGAAAAATGTTCTAATCTTAAACCAATTTTTATTCTTCTTTCAAATAAATTCGAATACGAAACAACGAACTAGACCTTGATTTTGATCGAACCAAACGAACAATAGAAATGTCTATAGTAATAAAAATAAAAAAAAATAAAGGAAGATTTGATCAGTAATCAAGATAATACGGATTACAATTTGTAAAATGAACGTCTTACAAATCAGGAAAGAAAGTAGCTTACAATAACGGTTTGTTTGTTTTTAGAAACAATATTGATACAAATCTAAATCTTTAGCTTTCAATTTATCATCAAAAAAAAAATATATATATATATATATATATATATATATATATATATATATATTTGAGACGTTTGGAATTAAAGAATTAAAATGAAAGAATAAAAAAAATCATGATCCTGTATAAAAAAGAAAAAGAAAAACAAACACATAGATGAGATTCACACTGTTGGTGATTTTAGTAAAAAAAAATGAACAGGTATCCTTATCGTTACTCTTATAAAAGGTACTTGCCCGTTATCTATGTAATATTAAATGCTAACCGTACGAATGTATAAAAGATCGGTAGTATTAAAGTAAGGGATACATTTGCGTATAGCAAACGATATTGATAAACGACTATCATCGTCGTCTCGAAGGTGAGCGCATGGATAATTTAATAATGGCAGATTAGCTGACACCCTTACTTGCAATATATATA